CAATCTATACAGAACGAAAATATTTTTAATAATGTTACGTATGAAAATATAGTGTCGAATATAACAATATATACAGAATTAATTTCTTTGCTTACATCGACTTCATTTTTCATTCGATTGTGGAAGTACAAAAAAAAAAACCAGGAAATACAAAATTTTAACAAATATACGAACTAGTTATGCGGGTGGTAAGATTATTTTCGTTTATAAAGCCGCTTATAGGATTAATATCACGTCATTCAAAGAGGATGCCTCGTTATTTAAGGTTAGCTACTCGATCGCAAACTAAAAATTAAAAAAATATTTTATTTTTAATACTGTAATTATTAATTATTATTTATTCATAATAGAATAACGCTATATCTCGCAACGATGACTCTCGTTATTATCGTATTTCTCCCGAAAATACAGAGTCACTTTCCAACAATACCAGGTATACCAGGTAATGTAAGAAGTTGGTGACATGATAGATTTACAAAATTTTTTAAATCCGAACCACCCGGTCGACCATTACGACCTTCTTTCGTCATCAAACGAGAACTTATGAAAGATCCATCATATCGTAAAAAAACAATGAGAGATCTTCATCGACGACTTTCAGCAGCGGTCACCCAATATCATCAAAAAACACCATTCGAAAGGAGATCATGGAATAGTTATTTTGACGATGTTGAATTAACACTCCCACCAACTTTAGATGTAGAGATAGATGAATTTTTCGTAGAAGGAAATTCAACAATTAATTCTTTAGTTGAAAAATATCTCGAAAAAGACGAAGAAGTTTCAAATTCATTGATAAAATCGGTTGAAATTCAAGAAGAAAGCAGTTTATTGATGAAACAAATTTTGAAAGATATTAGGGTGTTGAGAGCCATATTACGAGAACCTGACGAAAATGATTAATAAATTATCAGAATCTTAAAAATTATTATCACGCTTTCAAATTCTGTGATCGCAGAAAATCTTCAAAGATTTCTTATTTTCACAAAATTATATACTATATACCTAAAAAATAATATTTTCAATATATATAGTATAATATCCATAGTGCATTACATTTTATAATTTTATAATCGACAACAATAATAATTTTTATATTATACTTCCACAAATTTGAACGAAGTATCTTATTAATATCCTATTCATTTCAATATTCAAAGCTATTTTTCGAATTATTCAAATTAATAAGATTCTAAAATGGTTTTAAATATTGATTTAAATTGACAAGGCTGTTATTAAGATATCTTCGCTCAAATTCAAAAAAAAAAAAACATAGACAGCATCAGTACTTTAATATTGGGATTTTAATAATTAATTTAGGATTTTAATAATTAACATTAGGGCTTTAATATTCAATATTAGTACTTTAATAATCACTAGAGTAAAATTTGGTTACCGATAAATTATTATTTGATAACGATTAAAAAGCGTGGTAAACTATTAGATTTATAATACTAATTACAAACATACAGTATATACTCACAACAAGATATTCGCAACATATAAGATATTCACGACAATAAGATATATAGATTTTTTAAAAAATTATCAAATTAGTGAGAATTCATTTTTAAACAACACCAACAGCAAATTTTTACTGTATTTATTGTAACAATCATATTTAACAAAGTTGATATAATTATCATATACATTTCAAATGCATGATAATTTGTAGATTTTGCCAAAAAATTAAATGATTTTGCCCTGTGGATCTAATTGATGATATGCGAAAGAAAATGATATTCTAAAAAACGAAAAAAAAGGTGATATGGTACATCAAGGCTATATTAAGAACGATAATTTTTTTACAACCTTTTGAGTGGGTGTTGATTCGGATGGCGGATATTTGTAAGTTTTCTCATGACACGTCGAAATTTCAACATAAAATTAAATGGTTTCTTTTTTATAAAAGTTTTTACCGAATCTTGATCATCATTATGTAAAATATTTACATTGGAGTCAAAATTTTTAACACGTCGATTTTTACGAAATTTTTTTGGAAATTTTAATAAACTTTTTAATTTCGAATGTTTTTGTTTCGTTTTATCATACTGTTGCTGTTGTTGTGTGTTGATTAGTGGTGTCGATTGAGGAGCCAAAAACGGATGTTTTATAACATCCCACATATCGAATTTCTTAGTTGGATCCGGATCCCACATACATGACAATAAATCACATACACCTATATAAGGAATAATGATAGTAAATTAAATAATAAATTAAAAAAAAAAAAAAAAAGAAAAAAAGAAAGAAAACTTGGACTTACTTGGATCCATTTCCTCAGGAAATGAGAACGAACCATTTTTTATTTCTTGATGAAATCTTACATAATCGCCATCACAAGGAAATTGACCTACTATCGTATAATAGAAAACAACACCTAGAGCCCAAACATCGGGTCTCCAACCCCAGCAAGGTTGTCGTTCAATAATTTCAGGAGGAGTAAATATATCATACGAACTAGGATTTAAAGTCTGCACAATGTGAACAAGATTTGCTGTAGTAAAATGACCTAATGAAGCGAAATCTACGATCTTCACATTGTTATTCTTTATCCATAAAGTATCACAATTTAAAGACATATGAGCTAAATTATTCTCATGCAGATTTGCGAGGGCTAAACAAATCTGACAAAAGATTTCTTGAAAGTTCAAATTATGCCCAGCATTCTGGAGCAATTCAAACATCGGCTGACCAGGATCCTCCCAAACAATAGCCAAATAATTTTCATCTTCAATTACATCGATAAGATGTTGAATATACGGAACATGTTTCATTTTATCCATAAAATAAATTAACGAACGGGTTTTATTTACTTGTACAGCATTTGTTTGCTCGATTAAGTACATAAACACCTAAGAATAAATCAAAATTTTTTTTTTCTTAGAATAAGGCAACATTTTTAACATCATAAAAATTCAATTCATACGTGTGTACGTAGGTACGTACTTACCTTCTCATTGCTCTTCACGTTGATGGCATTTATTACATATCCCAGACTACAATCTAATTCTAATACATCTAATGGTAAATAAGGAAATTGATCATTTTGCATATTGAATAATGCATCGTGCTTTTTAGAATCATCGCTAAAAATTATTTCCTCATTTTCGGTTATTTTTGAATGTACATTATCGGAAGAAATCATTATTTACAAATTTTATTCAGGGATCGTTATGTTCGATCGTCGCGAAGATGAATTCACCAAGAGGTAAGGCGAATAATCTTTAATACAATTCGGATAAAATTGATAAAAGATGAGGGAGGAGCTTGGCTAAAGCTCTAAGAGGAACGAGGCAGAGATGATAATTCAAACATGAAAAAAAAGAGTAAATTTATATAAAACTTAAATTGGGAACAAAGAAAAAAAAAGGTTTGAGAAGCAAACGATGTTTGGATATTATTTTATTTATTTGTAAACAAAGGCGCCTCCCGATAGCTAATAGTGACAAACAATCTAACTCATTGTATCTGGAGACAGCATGCGTCCCAAAACGGCACAAATGATGAACTTTATAATCACGCAGCAATGCGAAATACGCATAAATTTTATGTAATTCTGTAATTGTTTAGTCATTTGATTCATATCGATATATATATTAAAATAAATATAATTTTGGCCATCCGCAGTACGTAATGATATTAATGGTGAAAGATGTTGTATGAATGGTGAAGGATGTCGCAATCACGACATTTACTGTTTGGTTTACAATTACTCTTATTTTTCACAAATGTTTGTTGTCGGAACTAATGTTTGTATCTTTTCATATAAATTCTGCTGCACATGTTTTAAAGGATACTCTGTGGACTTTGTACGTACGTGTGTACGTACCTTTTTTTATAACACGAGGAATCCAAGACCGAACATGTGATGCAATTTAAAGAAAATTAAGGTTGTATATTGTTGTTGGTAAGGATATCTTAATTACTCATGTGTGAGTCACCACAAAAATGTCTCGATAATGACGAATATGCAATTATGTACATACCAGCAATTAAGTGATGAACAATTAAATGGATGCTGACGATGAAACTAATTAAGGATTAAAGATATCAAAAGTTGATCACTAATTAATCGTTCGTTAATTTAGCGAAATGTTGCAGTGTTTCATTATTCAACCCGAACAATAGAAATGCTCCTGGAATAAATTAAAGAAATTGAATGTCTATGTTGGGATAGTATGGATTAAGAACTGAAGATTAATCGTGTTTTACTACCATACCGTAATGATTACGTACGTCCTTTGATCAATTTTGTAAACCTATTAATAACGTACTCACCCCAAATAATAATTAATAATAAAACGGAGGCGTTTTATCAGGTGTTAAATTTGAAACTAAAAATTTTAGTTTTATTTCATTTAAATGTATGAATAATAGAATATGTGTGTTATAGGACTTTGAAATATTAATAGATGGATCGTGTTTGAGTTTGCTAAAACTGCCGCTTTGTTTTTCTTTTAATAATAACCTGACCTATGAATATCTTGTTTATTTTAAACAGCATGTTTTTATAGCTTTATATTTATATGCATGTAAACAGGTACTACTGTAATCCGTTCGTATTTTTGATGTTCATTATTTCAAAGTTCGTGTCAAGTTCATCTTGTTAAATTCTTCAGTTTAGAGAAATCAATTTAAAGTTTCTACAAGGATGGTCAAAGAATTCAGGCAACTCATAATCGTGGGTAGGAGCACTCACCTTCGCTCCAGCCAATAATACCCCATGTAAAATACTTGAATGTAAACTACAGGAACTTATTAATCAATGAGCTTTTTTTAAAAAGAAAACTGTCTACCATAAATGGAAACTGTATATGCACTTGAAATTTTTCTTTTCGCAAGAGATCGGGCATACACGGATACTTATTTAATAAGCATGGAAACTACCGACTGCTCAGAAAACGAATAGGCTTTAGATGCATTGCTTACAAATAGTGATGCAGACAGCTTGAGCTGCTAAACTGTTTAGTGGCTCAGCTAAAGGTCTATTAATAAAAGCATCGTCTCCAAAAACTGCTCGGTTCAATGCCTTGAAACCGAATCTAGAGTAGAGATTGGAACCGCCTAAAATTTTTCACTGTGTTAACCGTTTAATTAGACGGCATAATATAAATTTGATCCATGATCAACATAATTCGGCCCAGAACTATGGTGCAATTTTATGCGGTTAAACAGTTCCAATCCCAATCACTTTGCCGGACAAACTCTTGGGATTTGGATGGATTGTCCAGTTATGCCTAAAAATCCCATATCGATATGGCAAAATTGGACAAATCCCAATCCCAAATCCTAAACTCTGGTCCAATCCCAAATCCTATTCCAAATCCTCCAAATTGATAGCACAATATTTTACTACATTCTGAGTAATGAATTCTTTTCAAATGATATTTTATATGATCGGGATTTTTTGGCATGAAATTACAGTATGTATATATAAGTTATAACAAGTAGAAGTTCATTAATATTAATACAGCATACCCCTTTACCTGCAATGCATTTTTCAAATATAGTAGGCTTTTAATCAATAGAGTGTATACGTAGTAATATACTCGGACCTTTTAAATTATATGGTGATTTATAGTATGCCACCTAACTATATTTTGCAATATTACATATATATCACTTAAAAATCATGATTTATACCCAGCTATAAACTAGACTTACAAGATTACTTATACTCAATAAAGGCGAATTTTTTAACCAATTTTGGTTTCTATTTTTTTATTAAAGTGTCGTTAGCTCATGAATTTCAGAACTTGAATATCTAGTTTTAATATTTCGACCAAATAAAAATGATTGCTATATTTAGATTGCTAATCAACTGCAAATAAGAAACAATAAGCGAATAGCTTATTTTAATAGAACTAAATCAATGTTTATTATATTCACAAAGTAAATAAACGTGAATAAGAAATTATACAATATAAATAGATACCTTGAGTATTTCGATCGATAATGATCATTCATAGGCTAAATAAATGTAATTTAAGTAAATAATTCGATTGAGAAAAAATAGTGAGGTATAGTACAGTAGTACACATAATACATATATCGTTGCGCTAAAGCTAGTGATAGGACACGATCTATTAAAAAGAATTGATTCTTCATAAATTATTTAATGCGACAATTTAAGAATCATCTATTTTTAGCATCGTTGGTCCCATTACTAAATCAAAACAATAATTAATAGCTTACTTGGGTAGGAATTTTATAGTAGTTTAAAAATTGGCGTTTAATGTGAAAAATGAAAAGATATAAATTTATTTAACCAATCAGAATAAAATTACACAAAATTTGCCAATCAAAAATGATTATGTGAACACTAAAGTATAGATTTGATGTCTTTTACTGTCTGATAATGTACAAAAAAAATAAAATTTGTATATTAAAACAAATATAGAAACATGATACTAAAAAACAGCTTAAAATAACAATATTACACAGATAAAATCGATTTAAGGATGCTTTATTGTTATTTAAAAAACAAAAAGTCATTAGTTAGCCAAAAACAAAATTATAATACAGTATTTATTACTAAACCCCAAAAATCTATAGATAATTCAAAAAGCAAAAAAACATTCTAGTAAACCCAAGAAGAGTGATGTTAAACACATTTAAAAACTAATTATCAAAATAGTAAGTTTAAATTATTATTTAAATTATTATTTAAAGTATTATTTAAAAGAAAAAAATAGTAATAGTTAAACATATACAAACAAGAACTATTATTACATATTAAAAGAAAATTATAATTCAAAAAACAAGCAATAATTACTGATTCTAATAATCTTTTAAATATTATTTAAACCTAAAAAAATAGTAACCAAACATATTCACAAATAAAAAACAACTATAATTTAGAAGAAAAAAAAAATACAAACAATAATTACTAATCTTAGTAGATCTAACTATTACTAAAGCATTATCTAAAAATAAAAAGAATAGTAGTAGTTTAAATATATTTATAAATAAAAAATATCACAGATAATATGATTATAAAATCTAGAGGCCTTAATTTAAAAATATACTCTAAAAGCTTTTAAAAATTGTATATTAAATAGGGTTTGATTTCACAATCATTCATGACAAAAAATATTACAAGGCTAAAAAAAAATAATTATATTAAAAAAAAACAAATAATAACTACTAACTTTAGTAGATCCAACTATTATCTAAAAGAAAAGTAATTGTTAAATATATTTACAAATAAAAAAATAACAACTACCAATATATAATCAAAAGAAAAAAAAAACTATAATTTAAAAGACAAGTAATAATTACTAATTCTAGTAAGCTCAATTTATTTTAAGCATTACCTAAGGGAGCTATCACTTATTATGTAATTATAGCCCCTTCAGAGTCAGTCATTTGACAATTACAAGTTCTAAAGTAATCAATCATTTGACAATTGCAAGCTCTAAAATAACCAATTGTATATGGTTTATATTATAATTACTTTAGAACTTGTAATTGTCAAATGACTGACTCTAGAGGGGGGGCTATAATTACATAATAAGTGATAGCTCCCTAAAATAGAAAAAAGTAATAGATTTACAAATAAAGAAACAAAAACTATCAAGGTCAAAGAAAAAACTATAATTTAAAAGAAAAAAGATGAATAATAATTATTAATCTCTTTCTTCAGATTCTTCTTGTTCCTCCAAAAAATTGGCATTGTTTACCTGCCAAATTCAGATGTACCCAGGAATACAACCACATACCTTGTTTATTGGTGAATATGATACTTGATGTAATTGGTAGATACAGGGTCCTCTACATAATTAGGATCAGGTCTCTGGCATAAGAGGCATCTGGAGGTAGCCAGTAGTCAGATAGTATTTTGTTAAGATTTTACATTATAGTAGAGATATACAAATATTGTAATTGTTATAAAAATTTTTTTTAAACTTGGCATGGGTTATAATAGTGTAATTTTATTTTTTTCTTTTGTTCCATTTGTACTATTTCTTAATAAAGGTAATTTTTCCTTTATCAACCCTTGGGCTTTCTCTTCAATTTTTTTTTTTTTATATATCATTGTACCCTCTTTTTTGCTTTTTCCTTTAAAATTCCCTTTATTTTATTTGTTTTTTTTTTAGTTAGTTTTTCATTTTGTCTTTTTGGCATTATTGGTGATTTTGTATTAGATAAAGATTATCACTTTCTTTTGCTTTTGGTAAAGAAAGGAGATATGAAAGAATTAGCTTTGATGGGCTAACAAAGTTTATCTAATCTGTATACAGGTTGGTGTGACAAGTCACATTTATCACAGCCAGGTGATGTCAGGCTCGCAATCATAAGACTTCCTGTTTAGTTTAGGAATGATATGCATGTATTGTTTAAGATGGTTTACCATCACTAATTAAATATAGTTTTAATAAATAGAGCACTGGCAAGACTGTCAAAGATTAAAAAAAATAATAATAATAATTATCAATCTTAGTAGATCTAACTATTACTAAAGCATTATCTAGAAAGAAAAAGAATGATGAATAGTCAAACATATTCACATATAAAAAACAAAAACTATTACCACATGACCAAAAGAAAAAAAACTATAATTCAAAAAACAAACAATAGCCACCAATCTTAATAAGCTCAAACTATTGTCTAAAGCATTATCTAGAATGAATAAAGGTAATAACCAAACATATGTTTACAAATAAAGAATTCTGCATATGCAAAATCTTAAATTATCTCTCTTCAAAATCCAAGTAGCCTATAGTTTGAGCTGCATGTATATCTAGACGATAGATTTTTATCACCAAATCCAAGTATTTGGTCCCCAAATTTAAATTTAGTTATCAAATTGACATATTAATCGGTCAACTAAATCCGAAAAGATTTTTTTGGACCTTAGATCTAGATTGATAACGCGCTTCCCCACAGACTTCGACGTATCTCATTAGACATAGAAATTTATTAAAATAACGCATTCTAACTTGAGAATATTTAACATCTCAGCCGAAATCAATATTTACATATTAGCAGTCAAAATTTCAAATTAACCAAATAGAAACTCAAAATAGTTTCTAGCGGTATGAGTAGCAGCATGGAATATTTTGTTAAAAAATAAAGTAAAATAAAGATAATAAATAAATCTTCGTTATAACTTTGGTTGTAGTTAATTCGTATTACACGAGAGAAATGTTTATAGAAAAACGTTGCATTGTAGTGCTTGACACTAAGATATTATAGATTTGAGCATAAGCATGCACATGAGAGCAAAGAGAAGGATGACTAAACTATGCCTTATCTGATCTCCTCGTCATTTTTTTTAGCATTCCACCCTAGGTTCTGTTTTCTGGATGTTTGCATGTATTTTTTTGTGTTAGGTTTTTATGATTTAAAACTCATGCAGTCACGTACGAAAATATGCATTGAACGTCAATATCAACTATCTGGCATTTTAAATTTTTTTTTATAAAAAAATGTTAATTGTAACGAGTGATTATAGACTTTTTACCGATTTTCAGTATTAGTTTGAGGTATTTTTCGCAGTAAGTTGGAATAAATAATAACACTAATTCAATAAGTTTTCCTAGACACGTATTCACATAGATGTGATTTCACCAAAAAATTATAGTGCATAAAAAATTAATTATCTCGCGAACTATCGATAAGAATCACATGATTTTGGTACCATTTGATTCGTTTCGTCGAGCGCGAAATCTACGGACAGTGCTTAGGGACAGTGCAGTCACGTGATGGTAATAATAAGAAGTTTTCAAACTTTTAAATCGAAATATCTCGGTATCCACCTGACCAAATTCGATAGAAATTTTTTTGCTTGAATTCTATGCATCCATAGAATTCGAATAAAAAAATTCAACGAATTTGATCAGGTGGCTATGGAGATATCTTCGCCCAAAGTTAGTGAAATCAAAACGCCTATCAAAATATAAGTTACGCCAATTTTTTAAAACTTTGAGCGAAGATATCTCCACAACCACCTAACCAAATTCGATAAATTTTTTTTTATTTGAATTTTATGGACTCATAAAATTTAAATAAAAAAATTTTATCAGATTTAGTCGGGTGGTTGTGGAGATATCTTTGCTCAAAGCTAGGGAAAAATCAAAACGCCTATCAAAATACGTCAACTGTTTTAAAAAATTTGAGCTAAGATATCTCCACAACTACCTAACCAAATTTAATAGAATTTTTTTATTTGAATTTATGGATTTATAAAATCAAATCAAACAAATTTTTATCGAGTTTGGTCAGGTGGTTGTGGAGATATCTTCGCTCAAAGAAGAGAAAAATCAAAATGCCTATCAAAATAGAAGCTACATAAAAATTTGAGCGAAGATACCTCTACAACTACCTAACCAAATTTGATAAGTTTTTTTTTATTTACATTCTATGTGTTCAAAGAATTAAAATAAAAAATTTTATCGAATTTAGCTGGGTTGTTGTGGAGATAATTTTACTGATTCTTCTTTAACTTTGAGCAAAGATATCTCCACAACTGCCTAACCAAACCCGATAAATTATTTTTTTATTTTAATTCTACGAGTCCATAGAATTCAAATAAAAAATATTATCGAATTTGGTCAGGTGGTTGCGGAGCTATCTTCGCTCAAATTTTAAAAAAATTGGCGTAACTTCTATTTTGATAGGCGTTTTGATTTTTCTCTAACTTTGAGCGAAGATATCTCCATAGCCACCTGACCAAATTCGATGAATTTTTTTTATTCGAATTCTATGGATGCATAGAATTCAAGCAAAAAAATTCCTACCGAATTTGGTCAGGTGGATACCGAGATATTTCGATTTAAAAGTTTGAAAACTTCTTATTATTAACGTGACTGCACTGTCCCTAAGCACTGTCCGTAGATTTCGCGTTCGTCGAGACGAATGGTATAATAATCATGTGATTCTAGCCGATAGTTCGCGAGATAATTAATTTTTTGGGAAGATATTTTTTTGTCGATTTGGTCCCTTTCCTCAGCAACAATCCCAATTACTCTCATTAATATCAGTTTTAATTTTTTTATGTATAGTATTTGGAATCTTTTGCGATAAATTGGAGTCAGTAAGTAAAATCTTGGCAAAATTTAAAACGCCAATAAAAATAATACGAGTTGGTTTTTACACGAATCTGTCACATGTTAATTTAATTAATAATATTAAAGGGAAACAAACAAACATAATAAAACGATATAATCTATAAAATTATCTATATATTATTATTTAAATATATTTAAAGAAAATGGGATATATATATATATATTTATATATATAATATGTATATAAAATTTTTTTACATTTTTAATTCAAGTAAATAAATATATAATTAAATTAATTAATACTCAAAAAGAAAGAGTAGTATGAAACTGTATAAAACAAAAAAGATCACATTATTAAACACCCGCAATCTGATTTTACTGTATCGCCCGATCTATCTTTTTTATATGCCCTTCGTTCAGTCTTTGTTTCTTTCTTTTCTTGATTTTTTTGGTACGATTTTTCTTTTGCAAAATCTATATCAGTGCATTAAAAAATTTTATATTTAACATTTACATTAACATTTTGTTCGTTCAAAATTAGTAGTAGATTCTTACCACCAATATCAAGATTCAGTGAAACAGAAGAAAAAGCTATTGGAATTTGATCGGTTGTATCACTTGATTCGAAATTAATTTGTTCTTTAAAGTCAGCGGTGCTGGATTTTTCATCTAAAAAAAAAAAAAAAAAAAAAAAAAAAAAAAAAACGGGGGTCAATCAATCATTTTATTAAAAATCGGTTTGTTTTTTAGTCATGTTACCTTGCGAAGAATACAAAAAAGATGATGATGATTGTCTGAAATCCAGTGTTGGTTTTTCATCTTAAAAAAAGAAAATCAAAATTAACTTAAAATTGATACATATCATATTAATAAGTAAATTTCTCATCTTTCTTACCTTTCTTTATACTCTTTACTGATTCGGGTTTCTTTTTAAGACTTAAATCCATGTTACTAATAGTGGATGTATCTCCAAAGTTTCCAAATACTGAATCAAATAAATCTTGTGAAAGTAAAGGTTCATTTGCGGCATTTTTTTCAATGTTTATATTAGAAGTGATCGTAGTTCCCTTTTCACTCATGTCTTTCTGTATATAAGTGTTTAAAAAATATCTGATTGATTGTGGTTATATTTCTAAACTTATATCAAACAAATATATCTACTAATATAATCACCGTTTGTTAGTATTTAAGTGAAATTTAAAAAACATATAAAGATTCGTAATTTTATTTATTACAAAGAGTTTTGTTTCCTAAAAAAGGGGAATCAAAAAAAAAAATTTTTTTCAGAATAAAATTATCTATTCTTCACGAACCTGGTCTTTTCAACCGCGCTTTGTGAAACAAATACATTTGACGTCAATCACTTTCCGCTATTACTTTGTGTAAAGATCCTTACAGTTTTTAATAACCTTATATTGATCGGTAGCGCGTTATTATGTAACGTCTTACGAAGTTGTGTACGTACGTATTAAATTTCAAAGTTTTGAACCAGTCAGATTTATTCTTAGTATTACAAAAAGTAAGTTAATTCATATGATTGGAACGTGTATTCACTTAAAAGCATTCTGCATGCATTCAACAAGATATACGAAGAACCTTTAAATTTTCCTACTCCAATCGTCGACCTGCGAGGATCACTAATAGTTTAATAATAAGCATAAGATACATACGTATTGTACGTACTGTACGTATGACGTATGTACATACGATATTTATGAGAAGGAAAAGGATAAATTAAATTTTGTTATGGTGCACAAATAAAATCGTATCAATCTACGCTTAGATATATATATTTAATATTAGGTAAACTGGCTCCTTTGATGTCTAGAACATTACTAATATATTGAATGAGCACTGCCAAGTAAAACCATTGGCTTACCAGTTTCTAAAAAAAAAAAGTCTGATCCCATGACAATAACACGGTGAAATACTCGTCAATATTTGACATAATAATCGGTTTAATATTATCTTCAAGATGGTATTACAGTAGGTTCTATTCGTAAGGTACCGATTAGATAACCTCATTTCTCTTCAGATTTGTGATACGATTTGGTCGAGTCTTGTGGTAGTCACAGGAATCGTTGTTGAGTCAACTTATTGATACGATCGTTAATAGCTCGTATTTTCAACGAATACGAAAATCCCTAAAATATCAAGAACACAGGGCGTTATGGTTACAAAGGCGGATGTGATTTTGTGCAGCATTATTTGATCAAATTTACCTGTAACAACGGTTTTTTGACATAACTGATAAATGTTACAGCCCTAGATTACAAAAAACGTTCACAGATCTATACAAAAAAAATGAACTCTAAACTAAGTTAAAAAAAAAAAAAAAGAACAATAATAATATTAAAGAAAGACTACCTTCCCGCCAATTCATAAAATTGCAGAATCATGTACCTTACAGGTTACTCCCAACATTCCGTGTCAGTTCATTTACCCAGACTTGCAAATCGGCCCATCCTAAACCTGGGATCTTGAACCCTTGTATATATGATCTTTGAGCATTCACAATCTTAACAGCCGACTTCGACAAGCATGCTTATCTAAGTCCTATTTAACCTGTTATGGCTATTCCTAGCGCTAATTTTCCGAAAATCGCCATATTCTATTCGTATGTAAAACATGACTAGACAGGTCACACCAGTGTTAGAGATCTAATGTTCTTAATGTTCTCAAGAACATTTAAAAAAAATTTGAGAACATTATATTTGAAAATCATGTTCTCTTTTGAGAACAATCCAAGAACATAAAATTTATAATTTATGTTCTCAAAAAAAACATATATTAATTCATAATATAACTATTTTAAATAAAAATAAATTTTATTTTATTTTTTATTTATACAGTATAAATAATAGTTTGATATTTGTACAATATATATATTATATTTTTAGTTTTATATAAAAATATTATATAGTTATTATTTAAAAATTTTACTATTAAGGACACTAAAAAGTTTATGAGAACGTAAAATTATAAATTTATGTTCTCAAAGAACAAAAAATTTTTTTAGATCTCTAACACTGGGTCACACCAGTGTTTTTACGAAACAGTTGGGGCAAAGTAAAAGATGCCAATAACTCAAAATTTTATTAAGACAACCTAACCATTTTCATGTATGTTATTGGGTCACTTCCAATAAATGATACACTTCACCTCCTATCGGAGGTGAGCGAAATTTGTACGTATCACGTACTGAAATGATCAAACAAGATGCAGAAATGGTTGGATGCTTACATTAGAAATATGCAACATCATATTATTGGGGTTATTGGGATCATGATAATTACAATCGCTAATTTATTCACAGCGGGTGCTACTTCATACCGATGGCCCTTGGCCATCGTTATATCTCAACATCCTGGTAAATAATGACCGATAACGAGTATATGTAGTATGAAAGTAAAAAAAAAAAACGAATTATACAAGACTGATTTCAAGCACGACTAACCTATTATATGCATGTATACGTATAGGTTTCATTTTTATTACTATATATAATAGTATAAGATTCGACCATAATGTCAAATTTGGTTAATGCTTTAATGCTTCCAAAAATTGAATAGAACACACTAATTGCCTGAAATATTCTTGATTCGATAATTATATTTGAATAAATTCAAAATTATGCAATCGGGTTGCAATTGGATAAATTTATATGTAGTTCATGATCTGATCTAGATACAGCACATTCATTATCTTCAGACTGCAATAAAAATATTTAAACATAATAAAGGTTCATAGAAGAAACATCGGTATGACCAAGCATCATCATTTTATAATATTGAAAGGAAAGGATGTAGATTATCCAATACAGATTGTAATATTCATTTGGTTCTTCTTTTATTGGTATATCAAAGTACTGTGAATTTAATCAATATATATATATATATATATATATGTCATTCACCGTGAATTACAAATTAACTATTAGCCTTCTTGGGAAGACTAAAACTTATCGTTATACTAATTTTAAAGCCCAAAAAAAAAACTATTGTGACGTATTGGTTCATGAAAATCATGAAGTAATATTATCGTCACATTAGCATAGAAAAAAGTGATCGATTTAACTCTAATCCAAAAGTTACGTTAACTTAAATCAGTGTAGCCAAAAGTAACTATTCATGTGGAGTGATGGTATATACGTAGGATTAAAACAACGTGGGAAGTTCAAACGCATGCATGGATAACACATGTCAATGACATATCGTTGGCGCAAAGCAAGAACAGGAACGAGCGCTGAAAGAATCGAGTAAGTATAAGAACTAAGGACGGCGGAAACTGACCGGCCAGTGCTTGTACGTACCAAAAAGTTTTGCGACCCACCAAACCCACTCTTCGATAAGGAACACATGACTCTATTATCTCTTTGCTCAGCCGGCTTGCTGTGGCACCACCGGCTGCTCCCACGGCGACCCGATTGCTACTTCCGCGGGTGGTCATTGCCGTTCCGGCCAACTCGGTCAATTGCTTCATGCGCTCAAAATCTTCTTGCACAATTGCAGTTGTGGCGCAAGTTTTTATTGCACAAACCAAATACTAGTTGCACACGTGT